TCTTCAGTTTTTGGTCTATCTTTATTGTGACTGGGGTTGGTTGTCTTGAAATTTTCATTACTTTTGTTTTTTCCACATTCATTTCCATGCCATAGCACCTTCCAATTTCGATTAGTCTATCAATCATACCCTGTAGCACAGGTTTTTCCTTAGCCATTAACACAAGGTCATCTGCATATTTCACAGTTTGAATAATTTGAAGTCTCCAAGCCCATCCAGAGCTTCTTTTGTAAGTCATTCGCTGTACAAGTTGAATAAAATTGGTGATAAGCAGCATCCTTGTCGAACTCCTCTTCCAATCTTCACACTTCTTGTCTCCCCTTTGCCCAGTCGCACTCCAACTTTCTGATCCATGTACCATTTACTAATCAATCTTTTTTCATGCCAATCGATACCTATTTCCTTTAGGATCTGCATTAATTATGTCCAATTTACACGGTCAAATGCTTTCTGCCAGTAATAAATACATATTATATACATACATATAAATACATATTAAAAAAATATTTAAGGTTTTCATTTGACTCGCTTATGTATATATTATAAATATTACATTTTTATAATTAAACAATATGAGAGATGGGGGCCACAGAACTGAATGAAACTCAGAATTGGGCCCTGAGCAAAAAAAGGTTGAGAACCACTGCTCTATAAAGAAGCGATATGTCCTACTTCAGGCACTGCTACAATCTGATGAAGAACATTAGCTTCATGGAAGTAGTGAAAACCAACTATACACAGCAGAAATAAAACAATGTACTCGTACCTCTTCATCTGCATCACGGGCTACATAGGATATGAAACCTCCTTGCAGTTGCTTCACATTATGGACATTGAAGTGGATGATAGCATCCAATGCATACTCATTACTCATATGGTCATCATGCAGCAAAGTATAGAAACGTTTCTGCCACCGCTGTATCTCATACGAACACCGGGGCTGCAATACTGCTGTGTCATCTATAACAACAACATACAGAGAAAACAAAGTGACCTCCTGGTCAAGTTACCACTGGTACATACCACAAGACAGCATTTCTCAATTCTCAATTTAGGAACACTAAATGCCCCCCCCCCATAAGAGCTACCAAAGGTGTAAAAGTAAATCTATCCCTGTAACAGGCCATGATGGCCCATAGAGTTGTGAGACGTTGAGGGTCCCACATTATCTAGACAGTCAGCTCAAAGATGGCTGTAAGGTTGTCAGCCTTATGAGCCGGCTGCGCTTTACTCCCCAGGAAAATTATTTTATTAATTCCTGGTACTCATTTCTGTTAGAGGCTGAGTTGACCCCAGGGCTATAGTGCGGCTGGAAGGATTAGGTCAACTGAAAAAAATCCAATGACCTCATCAGGACGTGAACCCACGACCTTCCGGCTAGTAGCATAGCTCCTCAACCAACTATGCTAGGTGTAAATGTGTTAATATTGTGATGATTTTAGGGTGTGACTATAGACGGGGTACAGACTGGATACTGGATTTATTGACCCATTCGTATACACCACTCGTAACTACACTTTACAGATCGCTGACATAGATTAGTGTCCTCAGTCTATTACAGTCTCCACTAGCTGTTTCCTGGTAACAGATTTAATACAGTGGAGATTCTTCAGCTTCCCATGCTCAGGTCCTCTTGTCACAGCCACCCGTGCAGAACTTTTTCGTGATTGTTGCATAGCAATGGTACCATATCTTACAATATTTAGACTTTTTCCTTCATGTTTTCTGTGATTAGTGAAGCTAGGGTATGTATCAGTTTCATGGATTTCCTACATATTGGAAGCAATCTTAAGGCATCAGATAGGCTGCACGGTTAGCCGCTGGCTTCCCACCATGGCATCCCGGGTCTGGTCAAGTGGGATTTGTGGTGGACAAAGTGGCGCTGGGGCAGGTTTTCTCTGAGTACTTCGGTTTCCCCTGTCAATCTTCATTCCACCAATTGCTCCACAATCACCCTCACCTATCATCTGGGGCTGGTACAATAGGCCACAAGTGGCCACAGTACAAGGGACTAAGTCTGACCCCACTAACAATAAAAAAAATAGCATCAGATTCTCACATAAGCACAGCAATTAAGTAATTTCTTCTTTGTGTGTGTGTATGAATATGCAGTTTTACATAGAACTGTTATAGCAAAGGAGAGACACGTGTAGTGCATCTGGCATGAATTCTTAAGTCTGATTACTATTTGTTGCAAGGCAGAAACAAAAGCAGTGTCAGTCAGGTTCATAATTTTGTAGTAGAATTAAATATTTTAATGCATTAATATTAATAATATATTTGACAAAATGTAAACTATGTAAGCACTGAATATTAGTAGAAGCTTTTTCTAGCCATATTCTTGCTAAAATAAAAATTGCAACTGAAAGCATTTAAATTTTGAATTTAGTTTCTCTTAAACTGTGATTTCAGAACAAGCATGAAATGTCAGTTAGCATTCCTGCTTTCCATTAAAGAGATCTAACTTGCCATTCTTGTATAATTCTGATGACTTCATTATATGGTTTTGCTGAATTCCTCCATGCAAATGCTGGGACTGGAGGTTTAGTCCTTAGCATACAAGTTTACTATCATCTATTCATAAGAGTCAAATGCCAGCCAATGTTGGCTCCTTTACTGTAAAAAATTGACAGCTATCACATGATCTAATTGGAAGTTCCATTCACACTTGGTCATGGAATAAACTAAAACTGAGTATGAAGCCTAAAATTACAGTTATCAACAAAAGATGTAGTAGATATAAATGCCTATACGTCGTCTGTTAAAAACGTTCCGGAACTTCTAAAATAGTGTGCCAACTCGACATCTTAGCAATGTCATGTAAGTTGTGCTGCCTAGTGGTATGCTTACCAATTATCATCCTTTTTGCTGCAAATCCTGGTGTGATTAGTCATCACCCTAGAGCTATCTGTTCACAAGCGTGTATTGTGTGTCTTGCGATATTTGAGATGGCTGATATTCATGAGGATGAAAGACATGTTGACGTTTTTTTGACATCGAGGGTGTTGTGCATCATGAATTCTTATGCCAGGGCCAAATAGTGAATCACTGGTATTATCTCAAAGCGCTGAAATGTCTAAGAGAAAATGTCTGGAGAAAAGTACCTCAGTTGTGGAGAAACAAATCCTGGTTTCTCCATCATGACAATGTGCCACCTCATGCTACTAATTTGTGACTTTTTGACCAATGTGAACACAACTGTGGTTCCTCAGCACCCTACTCACTTGAACTGGCTCTGGCAGACTTTTTATTATTTCCTAAATTACGAATCAGTTGCGATGCATGAGCTGCCACATTGTCATGATGGAGGAACCAGGAGTTATTTTTCCACAACTGAGGTTTTTGTCTTCTTATATTTTATCTTAGATGTTTCGGCACTTCAAGATAATATCAGTGATCCACTGTTTGCTCCTGATGTAAAAATTCTTGATGCACAACACCCTCTATGTCAAAAAAAGTCAACATGATTTTTACGCTCATGAATATCAGTCATCTCAAATATCACAAGATACGCTCTACACGCATTTGAACAAATAGCTCTAGTGCAATGACTGATCACACCAGGATGATGCAGCAAAAAGGATGATAATTAGGACGCATGCCACTAGGCAGCACAACTTACCTAACAGTCCTAAGATGTTGTGTTGGCAAAGTTTCAAAAGTACCAGAACTCTGTGAACAGACCACCATGTGTTATCGATTTAATGCATCTATAACAATGGTTCTAGTATCACAACACTAATAAAGCATGGGGGATTCTTCAACCTGCTATTAGTTCTCATGAACTGATAATAAATTACCAACTATTACATGTTCTTTGATGCCAAAGTAATTTAAGTGCAGCTATGACATTTTTATGACCCCATAAAAATAAAGACCATAAACTCTAATTTAATCATTGTATCAAGCAAAAGACATTAACACACAATGCCATCAATATCATAAAGTGTTACCTACTATTTTGAAAGGGTGTCAGCTCCAGTTTTGTAAGGTCACCAAGCAGTTTGAAGAACTCTTTGGACTTCATCAGTTGCACAAGCTTATTAAGTGACAATGGCAAAGTCTTCTCACGTGGAGTTTCATACCTTCTGTAAAGAGAACTTTATGAAAATAACAAATTTTCAAGTAAGATGGTTGGAACATAAATAATAATCTTTATGAAATGTTACGGTTTGCACTGCACTGAAGAGTTAGATTACACAGTGCCATAATACAAAGGACCGCAAAAAGAGGTTAAAACATTGTGTTTCTAAACCAAGGTAATATCGCTTGTATGATGGGGTTTGGATTTGTGACTCAATTTATTGATTACTATACAATGCATTACTACACTTCACAAATCATTATCACACACAGACTAGTGTTCTCAGTCTGTTACAGCCTCCACTAGTCATTTCCTGGTAACAGTCTTCTGACAGTTAAGATTCTTCAGCTTCCATGCTCACTTCATTGCCCACTGGCTCTCAACTGCACTAAGTTTTCTCTTCCCTGACTCCCTTACAACTGACCAACTCCCAGGCTGATGGCCATCTCACAACAACCTCCTAGTCTTCGTGAGTCATCTCCTGGTTATGGACCTTAACACTGTCCTCCACTTACATCCTTACCATCTGGCATATCCCACAACTGAACTAAACTCTAAACTTCATCCTGCTTGTAACCCTCTGGCATGGACCAACAGATAACACAGATCTACTGTTGCACATGGACTGTTGGGGTTCCCATGTGATCACTACCCAGCCAGTCCACTGGTGCACTGGCTGCTGCATAGCAAGTGCTGTTGTCTCACTGCTTGTTTTGTGGTCTTTACCTAGCAACGGGTCTATATGCCACAGTTAACGTAAACTTGTGTAGCATTTGAGGTTCTCACAGCAGTGGTTATGAACAGTTCTGTTTCTGGGAGATAATGCTGAGTAGTCCACTGAAAGTCAACCAACGATTCAGAGGAACATGTTGCCTCCATCTTCAGGGTTGAAGAATAAGACAAGCAAGAAATTGGCATGAAGCAGACAGAAAGCAGGGCCAAGCTGGTTTCTTGCTTGGCTCATTTTTTGACCTTAACAATGGATGCAATACTTTCCTCTGAAATATTGGTTGACTTTCAATGGACTACATGGCATTATATCCCAGAAGATAAACTTGCCTCCGTGCCTAAACACTGCAGAGTAATAGCTTTTGAGGGACATGAAATTAAGCTCTACACATTACAGACCTTGGCATGTGATAAACTATATGCTCTGGCAGCTTTATGTGCTGAATAAGATCCCCAGTATTCAATGGTTAGAAGGCTGGATGAGCCCAGAGCTGGTCTGGACATGTGGATGAGAAAAGTCCATGCCCTGCTGATAACAAAGCCCCAGTTTAGTCTGTAAGCAGTTACTTTACTGACTGTGCTACCTGGTCCATTATGTCACAAAACTATTTTCATAATTTTGCTACAAGTTCTAAGCTAAAAGAATTCTCACAAGTTCCTCCTTTCTTCTTTATAGCTTTCCAAGATAGTCACAATCACCAGAACCAGAGCTAGCACTGAGGCTGTGTGTGTTGCATAACCACTTCATAATTTGGTAGTCCAGCATTAATGCTGCAACGACGTCTGGGGGGGCAGATAGAAAATGTGCTTAAGAAATTCCATTTAAAATGCATTGCAATGGTCATCCTAAGGTATTCAGGATACAAGAATGTATTTCTTAAAAACAATTTTAATTGTTCCTGTTACTACGTTCAATTCCTTCTTTCTTTCCTTTTTTAATTTCTTCCAAAAATTTGGGGGAGGGGACATAGATAAATATACCACCTCCCTCTTGCCAATGCCTGCTGTCTGTAAATTAAAACCTACTATTTCAGAATGCTTCCTGATTTTTCAGTCCACTCTGCCAAAAGTTAGGATACCACAATACAGTTTACTATTTTTACATTCTTAAAATTGATTCAGAAATTTGGTTAAATTAATTCGCTGAGTTTACAGTTGCTTGAGTTTACATTTATTATGGGCAGCCCCTTAACAAGGGTAAAATTCAGGTATCTTGCTAAAATTAAATATAGGTTACCTGCCATGCTGAGGATCTTTGTTGTTTTTCCTGGGCCTGCCAGGAAAATGACTGAATACTCCTTTAAAATAAACCATACTCACATCACCTCCTTCCAGATCCTTACCTACTCAACATGCATGATAATTTTCCCATCTCATTCAGTGCTCAATAACTGTAGTTGTAACAGCATGATTAGATAACCAAACAATCAAGCAAATTCACTTTAATCCCAGACCCCTTTATCATATGCAAATGTTACTGGACAGAACCAAATCATATCCAGACATGCCATCCCTTCATCATCCAATAGCCAACCAGTTCCAGCTTCAAACATTACACAAGCCACGTTGACTGTGGTGGTAGCAAAACTAAAGAACTATATGGAACTTAACATTATGGAAGACTAACTGAATTCACTATGGGCATGCAGTAACACATTCCAGAACATAGGATCACAAGCACATAATAGCACTAACAAACACACATGCTAAGAAGTGTGAGGCCAGGCTCTCTCTAACATCCTAACCCTGTAGCAGACAATGAAACTGAATTACAAACAGACCAAACCAGTACCAACACTGTAATATGAATGGGCCTTAATAAGGCCATGATTTTGAAATTCTAACTAAATTGCAAATTGAATTAAATCATCCCCCACTACAGAAAGACAGAACTGTCATAACAGCACACATTACCTACGCACTGTCATCAAGCACTCAAATATACCGAGGGGTCCCAAAAAATGTACCCACTCTTTGATAGTCAATATCATTGGAACAAAATGACATGTTGTATGTGTTTGAAGTGACCACCATCAGTGGCTAAGCAGCGTCGATGCCGCCAAACTGCTTTGCGAACTATGGCTGTCAATGTGTCTGGTGTGATGGCTGCACACGACGCTTCGATGGTTTCTTGTAGTGCGTTCAGTGTAGCTTGCTTTTGTTGATAAACTTCATCCTTCAAGGTTCCCCATAGGGAGAAGTCGAGAGGTGTTAGGTCTGGAGACCATGGTGGGTACTCAATAGCACCTCTTCGACCTATCCATCGTCCAGGTAGAGTGTCATCCAAGTAGCATGCAGCAGTCTTGGAATGTACACTTTCCACTTTGCAGCCTTCAGAATTCACCGTACACTTGATCGGCTTACCCCACTTTCGCGTGCACACTGTTTCACAGATTTTTGCGGTGATCATGTAAAGCGTTGCAACACCACAGCACTGGAGACTGGACTTGTTACTATCTGTGGTTGCCCAGATCTCTGCTTATGCACATCATGAACAGTACTGTTGGCTTGAAATTTATCCCAAATATGGGCAATTGTTCAACGTGTTGGTGGCCGAGTTCCAAACTCATTCTGCCATGGTCGTTGTACCTCTTTAATGTTTTCGTACTTCCAGTACCACTTCAATACAGCCTTCCATTGTTCAACGAACAACCTTTCAGACATTGCTGCTGCTGTCTTCTGCTCGCAGCGTGCATGTGGTACAACACTCATGTGACTCATGTGACCTTCACCATCTGTTGAGAAAATATTACACTACACTACCCCAAAAGCATCGTAACTATATGTCATTTTGTTCCAAAGATACTGACTATCAAAGAGTGAGTACATTTTTTGGACCCTCCTGTATATATGTCTACATTTCCTACATTCCCTCTTTATTACAACTACAAAATAGATAACTTTATGGCCCTTAGAAGTGATCCAATTTTTCTTTTTTAATTGGACAACTATCTTAAACATCTATCCTTTCAGCAAAGGATCATCACTATTTTCAACACCGGTATCTCCAAGGAAAAATTCTACTGATAACAGGCTACATCATACACGAGTCTGAAAACATGTAACTGTCATATTCTGCCAGTTTCTTACTGGAAAACTGGGTGCAATTATTAATGTACTGAAATGAACATTACTACTTGAGGGATAACTGTCAAAGAGATATAAATGCAGGCTTGCATTTATGGGACTGAATCTGTGGTAATATTTTTAAAACTGTAGATTTAAATCTTCTCTTACCTACGATTGGGTGGTCCTTGAAGTTCCCAAGAAAATTCACCACTACATAAGCAGTTACATATTTCTTTATAGAAATCTTTATTGAAGAAGTCGGGCAATAAAATCTCACTATCTTGTTCAAAGCTGGAGCTGATCTGTTCTTGTATTTCAGGATCCAGGTACATAGGATTCACATGTGCTAAGAGGCTACAGTCATCCTGCAAATAAGAACAAAACAGAGGTAAAAATGGCTGCACATAGGCCAGAGTTGGGAAATTACTAGCACTTTGATTCAGAGGGTATTTCAAAGAGATTGCATACTGATGAGCCTTCTACGAAAAATTCTATAGTTAAGTGATTATTAAATGTTCCTGTGGAATTTTATGACAAGAATAAATAGAAACACATGTAAACACAGACAGAAATAGCCTGCCTCACACAATGAGATTAAACATGAACATGTTTGTCATGTATTTTATGCAGACCACTTCATCAGCTCTTTATTGAAATATACCATATCCTACATGAATATAATATTAGATTTGATTGCACCTGATGATGGTTTACTTTAATTGAAAGGCACAGTACATGACAGCATAAATGCAGCAGTTGCTCATACTGTAGTTAATATTTAATTATGGAACACAACAGTACATAAAGGGAATAAATGGTTTCATGTGTAGGTGAATATTTCTAAAATTTGTTGACTGCAGCATAAATGCATTCTTTTATGACATTAAGACTCATACTTGTATGTCCAACTCTTCTTAACAGAGCAGCAGGTTAAAGTGGCCCGTGGAAGTAATCTGTGTTAGAATTTCAAATAAAGTATACTGCATAAGTTCTGTAGGAATTTTGCAAATAATGAACTTCAGGAAACTGGAAATTCTGTTTCTGACACTGTATGAGCTCATGACTGGGTATCCTGACTGATTTGTGCTGTGCTAGGTTTTCCTATTGGGCTTTTGATTTTCACATAAAATGGAGTTTCAAAGATTTAGGCCAAATAGCTTTATACCTGCAACCTCCAGAATATGAAGCAGGCAAAACAGCCATTATGCCATGACAGTGAGCAACAACAGCTTATTATTATTATTATTATTATTATTATTATCATTGGAGGGGGTGGGTTTCCCCATGCACCGCGACCAGTTTGATCAATTGTACATCCCCCTTTGATATTCTACCAGTCTCTATACCCTACCGGTACTGGTGCGTACCATCAGCCCCGACTCAGCCAGCGAGTTCGGCCTCTACTGGCTCAGCGGTACCTTGATGCTTTCCCCATCTACCAGAGGCGTTAGAAACTACTGTTGGGCGGGAAACATCCTATAATTGGCTCAGAGGTCTCCTTGAGACATGAGGTTCTTTTATGTGCCGTAAAGCTACGACACGGGATCCACGGCTTAAAGTCCCTCCCGGAGGACTTGTTCCCTGAATTTTTCCGCCCTTAAAAATTCCACGACCTCCGCCAGGTTTGAACCCGCATAACTTGAGTCATGAGGTGGGAACATTACCCCTAGCCTACGGAGGCCGCAACAACAGCTTACTGTGTTATGTCAAGAAAGATTTATAATCTTATCAATAGTTCAACAGTTTCAAGAAAGGAAGTGCAAATATGAAAACTGATGAAAAAGTTTCCCACCCAGTTAAAATGTTGAGAGTGAGAATTCTGGTACACAGCAGGGGGAGGGGGGAAACTTTGAAATTGATAGGGAGGACAAAATACTTCAAACTGGCTAAGGAAGCTGCGAGAAAAATTTTGGCTGAAAAATCTGGCATTAAGATAAGCTGAAATAGTTTCGTCTGTAAAGTAAGTGGCTATGGGTTAGACGACTGGGGTTCAATTCCAGCATATCCAAACTGGCTCTGGGGCCTACTCAGCCTCTATCCAATGTGGGCCTTTATCTAATACTAAGATCAAGAAAAATGTGGTCATTAATATCCACTCCTCCATAAATCATTCTGAAGGCAAAAGTTCCTGAAATGGACTATCATCAGTGATGAGCCATGAATCTTTAAGAATATCGTGGACCAGACACAAAATGAGCCCAACAATCTTGGTGTCCTTTTCTTCAATCTGAATATGGAAAGAAAATCTGCTTCCAGAATATCATAATTCTTTCTTATCCATGCAATGAATAACATTTATACTAAAATACTTCAATGGCAAAACATTAACATTCTAAGAGGAAACTCCAATGTCATCAAGATCAAAAAGCTGCAAATATCTACGTGACAGATAATAATCCAAGACCCCTTTATCCTTTATGAAACGCGCATTCAAACTAGAGGCAATTAAAAATGTAAGAGACATAGTTAAGAAAAGATCCATGTCTTTGACTGGATTCTTGACCATGTCAATGCAGCACCATTGCACAATATTCCCTCAGTAAGAGCCTTTTTGGCAAAATTTAAAATCACACAGCTAATGCCTTTATTATCATCATCATCAGTAATCTGTCAGACGACAGGTCCACAGTCTCTTCCAAAACAGTTTCTCCACTTAATGCGATCTTCTGTTTTTGGAAAGAGACTATCCAGGAAAGTGATAATGTGGTAGTTTTTCCATTTGCTTTCCACATCGCAGTACAACAGCCGTTCAAACCACTCTGGTCACGCCTGTTGCTATACGAACTTGAACTATCTCGAGCATCATTTGCTCTGTGCTTCAAATCGCTGCTGATGACGCTGCTTCCGACATCAGTTTTTGGTGTCTCTCTTCGTCTGATGCCTACCCTTTGACCTGTCCAGCAAGGGAGGCCCTGCCAGTAGCTACGCTACCGCTGGTATAGCTCTCAGGGTCCTTGGCATACTCAAACCCCCTCACCACGATAAGGTGGAGACACCAAGGAGGGGGATGCCTTTATTATATTCATCCAAATTTGATCCCATGCCACATTTTCATGTTATTCCTCAAAATCAGGACACCTCTGTGCTGATGGAAGAAATTAAACAAATAAAAAACTCACACATCTGAAGAACACTAAAAAACTGAACTTTCAAAAAATATTTCAGCATGTGTAACGCCACTGGGAAAGTGTATAAATTATCAGGGAATGGATTATTTTAAAATGATTAAGCTTAGTTCTCTTCATAATACATGAGTGATTTTGTATATTAATATGGGAACTTCTAGGTTATGCTTTATGGAATCTGAACTACAATAAAATATTTGGATAGGAATATATCAGGTTTAATTCAAAATTGATATGCTTCAGAAATATTAAACAAGTCACCTGTATGGGAGAAAACAGGTGTATGTCTATGCGTACATTTGGAATAACATCTTTGCATTCTGAAAGTGGGCCATGGAACCAACCATTCACAGAAAGTCTTGTTCGATCTACTGTGCCCACCTCAGCTACCTGAAACATGTAAAATGCCTTTATTATTAATATTTAGCACAACTGAATAACATGTTAGATGCTTGTTTTCAATATATAAACTTTCTTGGCCTTGAGAATGGCTATATTGCCAAAGATTCCTATGGTTTTCCTCTGTACATTCAGGCATATACTGACATGGTTTCTTTAAATAAGCTAAGACCAGTTCTTTCTGATGTGTCATTCACAATCTTGCCATTCTGTGCTATAGAAGCTATTTAGGTGACAAGGGGCTGTTAACCAAACAAACAAGGTACTTAAATTGCAAACAAAAATTCTGTAACCTGTAACCAGTAGGGTGTATACCCCATGCGTGTTTGTGGTCACAGAGGTGGTGGCGTGGGTGTCATGATGCTGGTTATGGTAGCAAATGTGGTGCTGAAGATCTTGGTGGTCATGGGGCCATGATAGAAGTTATAGCAGCTGTGGTGGTGGTCATGATAGTGGTGGATGTGACTGTGGTCATCATGATGGTGATGGTGTTCATGGTATCTGTAGAGATCACTGTGGTGGTTGTGGTTGTTACAGGTGTCAATCTGGCGGCAAACTGGTGGAGGTAGTCATGGTTGTTGTCATGGTGATGTTTGTGGTGGTAGCAGTGATCATGATGGCAGCTGTCATGGTGGTGGAGGTTACAGTGATGGTTAGTGATGGTGCTGATCAAGATGATGATGATGATGATGGTGGTGGTGGTGGTGGTGGTGATTCTGGTGATGGTCACAGTGGGGTCTGTCTTCTTGGAGGTAGTTGTGGAACCTGACTGGTGACAAGATTATGACTTAACTAGAATACGATGTCCTCCGAAACATTGGTTAACGCCACATCTACACAGTGCCAGATCCCAGAAAACTGCTTTCGTCAAGCTGTAAGAACGTTCAGAAGCAGCTAATTCCTTGAATGACTTTCAATTTAGTAACTGCTGACATTATGTTTCCCCAAGTTTATTTACCCATATTCCACAACATAGAACACAGATCACAAATACTAAACCTATTTCAACTAGGAGACCTCAAGTTATCTCAGACTTTGTAATATCTTGTTGGATTTGAGATTCTCACAGTAGTGAGCAGCAAGAATTCTATTTGATTACGAAAAAATAAACAGCATAGATGAAAGCGTGGCGGGATGTAACACTATATAATTTGGTGAAAGTCAACTGCTGTTTCAGAGAAACATATCTCCTCCATCTTCAGGGTTGAAGTGTGCACCATGCAACAAAGCAGCATGAAGCAGACAGCAAGCACAGCTCTACTTGCTTGGCTTATTCTTCAACCCTGAAGAGGGAGGCGGTATGTCTCTCTGAAACATCAGTTCACTTTCACCAAACTAAACAACATAACACTTTACAACAACACTTTACTGGGTAAAAGAAGGCCAGCAGCCAAATTTAAAATTTGGGGCTGCTTTCATTTTTACATGGAAAATCACAGATCTTTGAACACAACAAAATCACTGACTGATATGAATACTGACATCACAAACAAACATATGTTCATATATATTAACACACTAACCTGGTGAAATGATTTACCCATCACTTCAAAGAACACAAAAGTGTTGAACATGGGCAAAATGGTTTTCACCACTTCCTTGGGTTGACCACTGTCTAAGAAACAGTACAAAACAACTAATCATGTAAGTATGAACTTGACTTTATAACAGCTAAAAAAATGTAGAGCTATCTAAGTTCAAAGGGTTCTGTCTTCTAGAATACAATGCTGTTTAGCCCACTGAAAGCCAGTTGATGTTTCAAAGGCACATGTCGGTGGATTTTCAATGGATTACACAGCATTATATCCCAGACAATAGAACTCTTCATACCCACTGCTGTGTGAAGCCCATATCCAACATAAGTTCAAAGCAAATGACATATAGATTTACCTTTCAGTACAAGGTATGAACAAATAAGTTGTAATGAATATTAGCACGATCAACTAATGATAATATCAGGGTTGATATACTGTATTTGTTCCTTTTTCATTTTGTGCTTTCCAGAACAGATGTTGTCACAGTATCTCAAAATAAACCACAAACATGTTCCTCCCAGTCCAAAATGGCCAACTTATTATCTTTAATATTATGTCGCAAATTAAAGTGGTAAGCAAATTTGTACCATAAAAATACACAGGTCCTATGATTCACCTATGCGGTTTGGATTTGAGGACATCACCTTTGCAAGGTTTATGGATAAATTTCTGACCAAAATTTTCCCATCACCACCAAATGAATGTTAGGTTAATATCTTATCCCAGAACAATAATTATATTCCCATTCATCAATCTACAAGTCTTGAAGGAGAATTGTGAACAGAAAATTATACAAAAAAAATTTACCAGAGCAGTGTCATATAAACAGTATTAAAACAAATCTCTGAATGTTCATATACATTTAAAACTACTGATACATGCTACTTCTTTCTTCGCTTTGTTTTTATTAATACTATTCAGTGTTGAAGACTCAAAATCGTATTAGTAAAGTGATATGGGAATGTCCATCAAATACAGACTTTTAATGACTTTATCACTTAAATACATAGAGATAAAATATGAAGAAAACATAACACCATGAATAAGATGGATGATTTTCTGCAATCATGTTAAATACCAATGTGAAGATGGGTGATTCTGAAGTCAAAAAATGTATTGTAACTGGTACAGTAATGACTGGAGGTTGAGCTTGCTCAGATCTTTTGTCTTAAGATCTAAATTCATTACTTTTGCAATAAGGTATGAATGCGTAAGGGGCGGGCCTTCTCAGTCCGTGCACCACGACCTACAGTGACCTATTGTGCTTCTTGCAATAAGGTATATGACTGAACAGCAGATTTTCAAAGACAAGTACTTCATAAGAAAGAAAAGTTACAAAATACTGCATTCAGAGGTACACTTATAAATACCCAGGAGTCCCTAAAAGTTATGTGAACTGAAGCTTCTTAAAAACAGGCATAACAAAGATTTAGTCTGTGAGGAAAAATAAGACAGTTTAAGAGGAACGTGCTAACTGAAAAAAAAAATGTTCAAGGCATTCAGGCATAGTTAAAGATCAGTCTTCTCAAATCATTAAGATACTTGGCAAAATAAGCTGCTGCTGTGCTATGACCTGTGTTCATGGTCATACAAAATAATAGTTGTGCATGAACTTAAATATGTCCTTGTGCTTAATCCATGTCAAGATGACATATGGAGAAGTGAAGGTATAGCTCCAATCATTCTTAACCTTGGCACTAGATGGAGATGAATGGTAAGTTTCATGCCCTAGTTCCCTTAAATCTGGTGAAACAGCTCCCTATAAACTTTTGTTATGAGGCCAGGTGGGCCCCAGAACTACCCCAGCCAGGTATTGAACTTATTTCTTGCTCACTCAGCAAATAGTCTACTCATTATACTGTATCTTTATTTTAATTCCATAGATCCTCTTTTTTTTTTTTTTAATTCGCTTAGTAGAGGGTGGAGTCCAGCTGGGTCCACTTGGAACAGCAGTCACTGATTGGCCTATTGTACCTGCCCCTGGGTGATTATTATAATGAAGAATTTGGTAGCATGAAGATTGGCAGGGGAAACCGTAGTACTCGGAGAAAACCTGCCCCAGCGCCACTTTGTCCACTATAAATCCCACGTGACCAGACCCAGGGATGGAACCCAGGCCACCACAGTGGGAAGCCAGCGACTAACCGCTTGAGCTATGGCTTATTAAGATAAGAGCTTAAATATATAAACACATATCAGATTATAATCAATTAATTTATACAATGTACTACATAAACAGAATAATAAGGTTTAATTTGTGTGACTGGGCTATACCGTAGTGACTACCCAATTAAGAAACTCTATTATTTACACCCGATGTAGACAGAATAGTGATAAAAAATCCACATAGTAACACTTTACAGAGAAGATGTCACATTTAGTAGTCCCAAGGCAATAAAATCACTAGTTACCACATCAACATTAGCACTTGTAACAGCTGCCAACGAAGAAGAAGAAGAAACTGGAGGAGGAGACAATGAATTTAACATTTTGGAAATGTGGTCCCACATATGAAATGATGTTGCATATATGATAGGAGTGAGCGGTCCACATGGTGTTTGCCTTAAACTTTCGCAATCCAAAAATAGCTGAATTATACTTTACTCAACAATTTCAAATGTTTGAAAACTTACCATCTGTGTCAAACAGCTCCAAAGAACCCCCATAATCTGGCTGCCAGTGTTCACTCAGATAGAGAATAAAAGCAATTCGCCTATCTTCACATCTGTCATCATGACATAACAAGTGATCTGAATGGATGAAAACACAGTATATGAACTACTAATACACACTCCTTTTTTCTGTTTGAAAAGGAAGATAAGAAGTCTTGTTTACTATTCTTGTTCCATGTTCTGTGACACAACATCAGTCAACTACATGAAATATTATGCAATAAGAAGAAAATATTCATGCTGACATAATAATGTATGAAATGTTATTGGAAGAGATGGGTCATATCTTACCAAAACAATATGCAGGCCACTAATACACATTTTGTTTTTTTTTTAAGATATCAAGTTTTCATGACAAATAAATGGACTAAAACTCTCTGGTGCTATCAACCATGAGGAGAAACCCAACACTTAAAGAGACTAGCTCTGCCTCCATCATCAGGGTCAATATTCTCACAAGACTGAGTGACTATAAATGGGGTTTGGATTGGTAACTGAATTTACTGAACTCTTACAGAATGTAACTACAAATAACTGTAGCACTGATGCTAATTCACACACTTTGCAGTTCACTACAGCATGTATGAAGTCTTCTCAGTCTATTGTATCACCATCACTGGTTGTTGTCTGATAACACTTTACAGTTTATGCTGCTTACTTCATTCTCATATCCTGCTTGTCTTTAATTGTGTGCCACTACTATTTAGTACAAGCACTTATTAAAATTTTTAACTAAACTGTAAACACAATCTATACAGCGTACTGCTGATAGGAGCAGCATCTCAAGAACTGAAGAGTGGGAGAAATGTCCCAAAAATATCCTTCTTTCTGTGTGTTAGGGAAAAAAAACATTCATGCATGGAAATAATATAAGTCTTCCTTGATTTTGTTTCTATATTTACTAGTAAATGAGAGATTACATAGTGGTCTTCTGTTTAAACACCAGATAATGAAACAATGCCCATGGCTGAAAGGTTAGCATTCCTTTTTTTTATATAAAAGGTCCTGGGTTTGATACTAAACCTGAAGCCAATTATATTGACCAACATATTTTGTGATTTGTTTCCATGCAGATGCTGGAGTAGTTTCTTAAAAACGGGACATAACCATTTTCTCCCCACTTCCACTTCATTTTCATTATTTACAATCATGCCCCCATTCAACCCCAGGCCTGTTTACACTAATAAGTTGTTGATTTATATATTGAGGTGTTTCTTTAGTACAGTACAGTAGGGTGAGGAAGGGGTGAAGGATACTTAAATGATGACAGTTATATCTTCAATTAAGTATCATCATAACTCCACACTGTGACAAGACAATTTACAGCACAAACTTCAAAGGCAATGCTATAAAGCTTTAGAAAAATAATGTACATACCTGAATAATTATAGGAAGAACATGTCACTGAAACTTTATTATTCAGTTTGATACCGGTTGCCATTTCCAGCCATGTACAACATTCCTCTACAAGGAACTGTTTCAGTGAATTAATCGAAGGTCTATTTACTTCAGATAAGTCACAAGACTGATGAAACTGGTAGAGATCATTCCGCTTCAAGGAAAATTTAAGGTCCAGAAGCTCCTCTTTCAATTCCTTTAAATATTCTGTATCACGCATGAAGTTTTCCACTATGCAGTGCTTAAAAGGTGAAATATCCATATGTACATCAAAATCTGTAAACAAAATCATTGTATACTGAATTTTCAACATATGAATCCACTAACATAACATCCCTGGAGACCGAACCATGCAAATATATTAAAGAAAAAAATGTTATCCTCTGTACAGGTTAAGTCAGCCAGCTTAATTGTAATGCGAGACATGTATTCAAAAGTACCTTGTTCATATCTTCACCACTGCACTTCTGAGGTTTTCATGGTTTTCCTCAGTCCTTGCAGTCAAATGAAAAAGAACAATGCCTAGAAACAGGACACAACTGCTTCCTCCCACATTTCCTGCATGTAACGCAATTGAGTAATGGTAGGCCTAAGTGAATTCCCCTTAGATGCATTGTCAGTCAATACAGCAAACCCTTGCTAATCCAAATTGGGGGGGAGAGGTCATCCAGATTAACTGATAACCTGGATCAATGATGCAAAAGATAGCCCTAAAAGATACATATAAAAACTCAGATACCGAATAAATGGAAAAATTAATAAATATAGGCAGTGTTGATGAAAATACATAAAAAGTATCACAGCAGCAATTTTTCCTGTGCCAGAAGCTGAAATCCAGGGTCTCCTTTATCCAGCTCAAGACAATCTTGGATACAATCTTGTGCAGTTTCAGCCTCTCCAGCGGCCCTCAGCACATCCTGAAAGTCTTCTTGCTCTAATCTCTCTTGCTTCTGTATTCCATGCGTCTTTTAAAGAATACACTCAACTGTGAACATAATTTTCATTTTTCATATTTCGATCCAGATGAACTATAACCGGATTTGCATGGGTTTGCTGTGTTACTATATGCAGTAGCACAGAAGTGGCATGTGCCGCAGTGCCAAGCAATGGACTGGGAAAGGAGTGCTTGAAAAGTTTCAAGCATGCAGATATGTGGACACTGGTCATGTTTTATGTTTTGTCTGAAAAAAAATGCCATGCAAGTGTCATAAAATGGAAGGCTGAGGGGCTCACATTCGAATACTCAAATTGTTCAACAGTGTGTAAATGGCATTAGCGCTTGGCAGAAAGATGTCCCATGCCCCAGTGATGCACCTACAATAGCCACTAATGTAGCACATCTGGAGAATGTGCATGCAGTGCCTGAATGAATCTCACCATTCAGTTTCAAACACTTAATTCATGGTTGGAGAAGTAAAAGAGCTGTGCAAAGTGTATTACTTGAATACTGAGCAATGATCAGCATATCATGTGTGTATAACTGTCCACTATCAATTTTCAACAGTGGCAGAGAGAGACAGAACCAAAGTCAATGATCTCATTTTGATGGTGGATGTGTCACGGAGGTCTTCATGGATCTAACACTGAAGCAGCGGGGTGCCAGATGGCAGTCCTCAATCTCACTGTGGATGAAAAGTTCATGACATTCAGGATACTGTCAAAGTGACATAAATCACATTCTTCACCCACTATGTGCTTGACCATCTACAAGCAATGTGTATCATTTTCCTCCAAAACATACTATGACCAAGATGTGAAAAGCTAGGGAGTCCAAAATTAGTAGCAACATACAGTGATATCTGTGTAATAATTTCATAAATCATCAGCACCAAACAACAAAATGTATGTCCAGTGCCACAGTAGAGTATGAAAACATGGCATTTAATGTACAGGAATGTGTCTTCATGGTGGAAAAATTCTCTAAAATTGAGCAGTCCAAATAACACAAAATGACTTCTGGAAGTGATCTGAATATTGTCATGCACCAATGTACTCATGGAGACTGGGAATATTAATGTTCCACAGAATGGTTGGTAGAGGATGGCATAAAATCAGAAAAAAAAAATTTGCCTATAAGCCTTCACAACAGACTGCAATGTCCTATGGAACATGCTGGCATGCTGTGCTAAAATAAAACATGCTTCCTTACAAAATGCATGCCATGTATCATCTGTTGCCACCAGACTGTGCAAATCAACCTCACAATTGTAAAATGTCGGAAAAATGGATGATACTCCTCAGATATTGGATCTCTCACTTCTCGGACAAAGTATGGTCATATGGGAGCTGCGGTGGCGCAGTCGGAACAGCGACCGCCTACGGGCTGGACGACGAGAGGGGTTGGAGTTCAAGAATGGTTGTATGGGGTATGTATGTAAAATCTTAGCACACTCCTATGGTCAACAGAAAATGCCTTTTCCCCATGAGAAATTCCCCTAACTCTAAAATAACACATTAATTTCTAATGGATTATATTATGACACAAACTTCAGGCTGTGAAGTGGGTTGATTTGACATCAGATGAGCCTTTAGGAGCAGAAATTTTTACACTCAGTTGAGGGTAATGAAATATATGGCAGTAGATCCTCATTTTTGTCTTTAAACTGGAATAGAACAACAAAATAGTACCCAAAACTAAACAAGCGTTTTCTATTTGAGAAATGATTTTTGTTGGTTAAATCATGAAACATGTGATAACACGGGCCTTTGAGACAGTATTATGGAATTGCGAAGCGAAGGATAATCATAGCTTTTACTTTAACTTACAACTTGGCTTTCCTACTGCATGCAGCAAATTCGAATCAGTATCGTAACATGCGTGACATCTAGCAACCAGACGCGAAAACACAGAACGAAAATTGGTAACAAAGGAAGGTTAAAAAGTCAGTTAAATTAGCAATATATGTGAATTTGAATCTGTATATTATTATTAATCGATGCCGATTATCATTAGCGCCTGTTCTATTGCATTTAATGTTACAAAACTAACTTCAATATTGTTAATAATTATACAGGCATACCAACGTAATAAATGCACGTCATGCAATTTGAATTTATCGTACTGGGCAAGTTTGCCATGTTTACATTTAATTATTATATTCTGTTTGATCTGTACGCTCTGTATATCCTCGACTGACCTGAATGCAATGATCTGTCAGAAGTCCAGCAGTTATTAATGGCATTTACGTTCTCCTTCAAATGATTTCTAAATGACGCTTTCCGTTCACACCTTAGTTTGCCAGAGTGCGTAGTAATGTCTTCCACTTTTCTTTTCATTTCCATATTCATCTGCATTTTGCATCAATACCTAAATCCATCCAAAACACGTGCTAAGCTACAAACTGAAGCACAAAACCGTAGATCGATAACATGCACAGATGTACTATTGGCCAGTTATCACGGATTACTACTGCCACGAAGTTACCTCGTAGTGTTGCCAACACTATATTCTGGCAACGATGAAATGTTTGTGCTATGAAATCAGCTGTGTTAATTATCGTAAATTCCGCTACACGCCGCAAGAAATGAATCTCATATATGATCGCCTTTGATTTAATTTTATTTAATTATGTCTGAATGTGCGGGTTCATGTGCGCGCCTTTCATTACATGCAATACATTTGTAAAAATTAAAGGATAATTAAAATAAAATAATTTAGGGCGAGGGCACACCAAGGAAACTGGCAACCGAAACGCAGCAGCAATTTTCGAGAGTTGTTATCAGCCCGAGTTGAATACGTGTTACTGAATGGAGGAGCGCAGATTGTGGAAAAGACAACGTAGCTGTATATGTAACTCTGTAATTGTACCAGGACACTGTCCATATTTCGGGTATGAGTTTCCTGACGAGTTTAGTCAAGTTTCAACGTTGTCAAACATAAACACTTTCAGCCATATGAACTGACACACGCTGTACCAACTTCGTATTTATGTAATCTGTTCTCTGAACTAAAATGGAGTTTCTTTCTCCATCCCTGTCCCCTGAAGAGAACACAAGAAGTGCTAACCTGCTTAAGTGCCTAGAGCAAAACTTTAGTTACGGTTTGGGGCATGCTGTAAAATCAACTAGATCCGCAACGCTATAGTGACAACACAGTCATTGAATTCATTTCAAAGCATTTGGCTACGCTGGAATTGTTCTCACAGTAACCGGAAGGCAAACTACCGGAAGTACGGTTTTCTAAAAATTGATCATGTATCCGTAAGAGGCGAATTCAAAACAGGGAATATATGTTATGGAATTATGTTAATATAAAATACAAGAATTACTATAGAAGAATTTTTGAAGAACAAATAGAAGACGTGTACAAGGTGTGTTTATTCACAATGTGAACAGAAACCGAAGGAAAGGTAGCGAACGTGCGAATTTAGTTTATGTGTAAGATGTCAGTGAAAGAGCCTGAACATTTTTCGGCCCGTTTCGCCAACAAAGCGATACGCCAAAGAAATGATGTGCCAACTGTGCTGAGGAAATGATTAAAAAAGTCTACCGTTCGCTTCCGTTCTATTGCTTTCTCCTTTAGTCATTTCATTTTCTCTTTGCTCTTACTGACGTTTACTTTCTACCATGTAGTGGTCAAACGACACTGTTGAAATTTTAGTATCAGAACACAGAGAAAGAAGACGTTCATGGAATTCGACAAGTTCGTTTTATGTACTACATTCAAAGACGAACGATGCTTCAGAAGAAATTTGCCAAGTGCTTGGTTTCAAGGTATCGGAAGTCAAGGAAAAATTCGATTCACTGTTGTCGTCGTTCAGGCGTGAACAGCAAAACAAGAGATGAAAAAATTACAAAGCGGGTACAGAAGAAACATGTAAGTCAACACGGTTTGCTTTCAAAAGCATGTTGTTTCTCATGGTCAGATTTAAACAGAGAATACTTAGTGATAGTGGTGAAGTAAGTAGTAACATTACATGTTAACAATAATACAACAACAATCTTCTATTTTGTGCTTGTTTCTGTTCTTACTGTTGGTAACATTACAAGTAGGGGTCTGCATATATGAAAAATCCATGATTTATTATATCCGTCTTCTAGTGCATACATTTATTTATCCCCTCTTTTCACTCTCACTACATGTTTCGGCACCAGTGTGCCATCTTCAGGTGCTGATCCAATCCACGACAAACTAATTCATTGCATGCCTTGTCTTTACATACTAAAATAACTAAAATATATATTTATCATATATACTGACAAATGTCAAGTGTTAAAATACTAAAACTGTACAGCATATTTCTTTCCTACATACCCAGCAGGTCCAGCAGTGTAACACACGCAGTCACAGGAGCGAGACGCAACACAGAGCACAATACACGATAGTGAAAGAGTGCTCCAACAGAGGATGATAGACGTGACTCGCGTAATGAAACACGACGTAGGAAAGAAATATGCTGTACAGTTTTAGTATTTTAACACTTGACATTTGTCAATATATATGATAAATATATATTTTAGTTATTTTAGTATGTAAAGACAAGGCATGCAATGAATTAGTTTGTCGTGGATTGGATCAGCACCTGAAGATGGCACACTGGTGCCGAAACATGTAGTGAGAGTGAAAAGAGGGGATAAATAAATGTATGCACTAGAAGACGGATATAATAAATCATGGACTTAAATCAGTGCAACAGGACGCTAAAATATAACATATGAAAAATGTTCAGGTAAAATTGAATTTGGTGTATATACCATAAATAGTCCATTTTGATCACCAACGAACACAGGTTTGCGATTAAATCAGCATTTGTGGTTGTGCCATAGCTCATGCGGTTAGTCTCTGACTTCCGCGGCGGCCCGGGTTCGAGCCCGGGTCTGGACACGTGGGATCTGTGGTGGACAAAGTGGCGCTGGAGCAGGTTTTCTTCTAGTACTTCGGTTTCTCCTGCCAGTATTCATTCCACCAAATTCTCCATCATCATAATCACCCGGGGCAGGTAGAATAGGCCAATCAGTGGCCGGCGTGCCGAATGGACCCGACTGGACTCCACCCCCCACTATGCGAATTAAAAAAAAATAAAAATCAGTATTTCAAAATTTTAAATAATAAACAAATATTTTATTTTAAGAATAACATATTTAAGTTCATAAACGGCAAATTAATATTGTATACTAGGATTTATACGAAAAAGTACTCTCGGTGTTTTAAAATGTCTCATCTTTTGTGAATACTTCAGGTGTATTCGTCTTCTCATTACACGCGCCATGTACTTTCACATTATTCGGCACATTCCTGTCTTATGTATTCGCAATTGTTTGGACGTTTTCGACAGATTCGGCTCAATAAACGGAACGAGTTCAAATATTCACTGTCTTTCCTGCAGCTTCATTAAAAAATATTTCCTTCCATTTCGTAGTCGAATGTTCTGCGTGGATGTACCGATTTACAGAGGAGTTGTTTTTTTCTCAAAAAATTGTATAAATAGATGCCAGTCAACATGACAGTAAGAGCTCCATCAGGTTCTAAGGTATTTGACTTCCGAAGCACCCTGAATACAGCATAAAGAGATACGATTATATTTTCAACAACATGACGGAAACAGCTATTTGCATATATATCTATATATATAAATATATCTTCGTCAAATATCCGATCATGACATTCAACATCAGCAAGTCAGAGAAGTAATCTGCCTTTACAAACCCCAGTAAAATATTGTTGAACTCAAACTTGTAGCTGAAGGAACTGCTTCTGCTATCCATTGAGGCTTCAAATATACAGCTACATCAGCCCAAATGTCAAAGACAGCGAGGAAAGCTCTACTGATTTTCACGTCTTTTATCAACAGAAAAATATTCACCTTATTTATAGGGAATATGAGAAACAAATAAAAAAAAACAACGATAAACATTTAGTATTAATTTATTAAAATATTACAGCGTGTGCTATTATTTAGAATTGTTTTTGTTTCACTCTCAATATATTTTTTTTAATTCTCTTAGTGGGGGATGGAGTCCAACTGGGTCCACTCGGCACGGCGGCCACTGATTGGCCTATTGTAGCCTGCCCCGGGTGAGTATGATGCTGGAGAGTTTGGAGGAATGAAGATTGGCAGGGGAAACCAAAGTACTCGGAGAAAACCCGCCCCAGTGCCACTTTGTCCACCACAAATCCCACTTGACCAGACGCCGGGATCGAACCCGGGCCTCCGCGGTGGGAAGCCGCTTGAGCTATGGCGCGGCCTACTTAAGATCTTTATGTCAGCTGTTTCACTGCACCGTCACTGTTCTGTCGCCTTCTTGCGTTTTGTATTGAACTAACTTGCAAATCTGGAGCTCCACACACATCCTCTGTACGCCGCTTCTGATCTCAGATTGACACTAATGCTACCTGTTAAACTGTTTCGACTGCTTTTATGGACATGTCCATACTCTGGGAAAGTTCCAGACCGTTTTCGTACGATTTCAGCCGCCATAGTCGGCCGGTGACTCCAAGAAGTTTTAGAAGCAGGGTCTCGTATCTTCCCTCTAAAAAGAGGTATTTGCAAGACGGGTGGCGCGCCCACCTCGCTCTTCGCTCACGCAACAATATTGTAGCATGTAGAGAGCCGTTACTAGGTTACGGAACGGTAAGCAACTTATCAGCATGACAATGATTGTACACGCAACCGAGGAAGACGTCACATTTGCGGTGACGTCAAACAACAATAGGATAGCTGGGGGAAGCGGTGTTGCCACCCGTTCTGGTGCCAGGCGGACAGTACCGCTGTAATGAAACACGTGATACCACGCCACCCACATCGACAGAGGAACAGTATTTTCTGTTTGATCCGCTCCGAGGCTATATCACTCGACCGACAGAGTTGAGTTGAATTAGTGGGTGGAGTGAAGTAAATTGGTTGGGTTATGGTGAGACAGACGACAGCCAGCGAGAACGTGAACGGAATTGAGGGTTCTACTGAATTTGGAAGCCGTTACCAGTTAACCGGCGACCACACAGCAAACTGAGAAGACTTGATACATAACGCTAAAATAAATCTACAATGAAATTTAAAAATTATATTTATTTCTTACTTACGTTCTTATAATCAGGTCTGCGAATTTCTGGAACTCTCACTGAAACGATTATTCTTATGTCTTAAAAATATGCATCAAATTCCAATGTGAGTCACGGAATTACAATTCTCAGGTGGTTAGCAACAGTTTTATGTGATCAAGTCGCTAGAAGGGAATGTGTTTCTCACCTCAAATACAAAATATTATCGAAACACTTCCAGTAAATATGTGTTGCGCCGACATAACCTCACGATTATGCTCCTATTTTATCGTCTTCATACGAAGAGCCGATGAAATGGGACTTGATTCTGTTGTAGAAAGTCACAGGCTAGGACAAAATGTTCCTGTGCCGGTTACTTCTTAATTTTAAGGAATACCAGATCCTCACCGTGGTTCTGATACCTCGCCAA